AAAAAAAATACCGATTTTCCTCTTCCGCCTCCCCCAACAAAAACTTTTACATCAAAGATTAAATGGCATAGTTAACGTTTTCATCTCTAGGTTTCCCAAGAAATTTTCTGCACAGCAAGTTGTTTTAAGCATCAAAACGAATTGCAGATTCTTTTTACATCAATACATCTTATTCACTGTCTTATTTATATAGCTGACCAGAAGACTTCGAGAGAAAGACATAGGATATAGAAAACTTTGACCTTACCTGCTCCCTAATGTGCTTGCAGCCAGAGGGGAGGGAAAAAAAAAAAAAAAAGAAAAAAAAAAGAAAGTCATTTCGTATTATTCACCGCTTTGCCAGAGACGGTAATCTCTTTACCCCATAGGAACAGCCGTACTGGGTCAGATCTCTGTACACATTTGATACATATAAACAGTATTACCATTTACTTAGGGTTTGGAGGGTTTTTTTCCCCCTGAAGGGGATCAGGAGAGGAACAGCAGGTCAGACTGAAAAAAAAAAAAATATTTCTCAGCTTCGCTCCCGACAAGGCCATGAAAGGACTGAAATTCTTCAGAAGTCACTCAGTCTTTACCTCTAGGTCCCCTTTGTAAAAGCGGCCGTCTCGACAAGTTGGACCGGGGCTGCCTTCCCAGCGAGGCCCCTCTACCTGCGCTCCTCCACAAAACTCTGAAAATACTTCCCCCCCCCACGCGGCAACTTCTCTTGGTTCTCTTGGTGTCATCTCAGAGCTGTCTCAGATTTCATTGTTTGGGATCTGCACTTTGAACACTGTCTTAGGGCCCTGCTCTGCCTTTTGAACCGACATGCAGGCGATATACTTTTAGATCAGCTCCCCATGGCTTCCCCCCAAGCACGGTCACAGCTCCTCGCTGCTCCGTTACCGGCTGCCGGGGGAGCAGCAGCACCCAGTGCAGGCCCCGGTGCCGCGGACTTCTCCGAGCCTTTCCTTCGAGCATCTCTGTTGCTAACAGACTGCTGTGAAACAACAACAACAACAACAAAAACCAAACCAAACAAACAAAAAACCCAACCCAAAACCCAAACCAGAACACCACCACACAACCCGTTTTGATATGAAACAGCAAATATGAAGAAGCCTTTTGCTGTTGCTGCTGCTGCTGTGGCGGTGGTGGGTTTTTGTTGGTTGTGGGTTGTTGGTTGTGTTGTGTTTTTTTTTCCACAGCCTGCTGTGCCACTACATGCACACTTCATGGCACTCCAGAGTGAACTCCTATTTACAGCAGGAAAAAATGCCCTCCGCGATTCCCCTACATTTAGAGGCAGTGCCAGGGATTGGGGGAGCAGAAGGGAATAGCCATTCTTCACTAGACCCCTTCATGTCTGAAAATATGGGGTGCCCACGGGCTCACGTCGATAAACGGGTAGTTATATTGGGAAACGTGCATTTCTTCCGTCATTTCAGATTTGAATCATGCTGCCCCCCCCCCCCCCTCCCCCCTCCCCTCATCCAAGTTCTGCATTGATTACCAGGAGACTGAAAATCAGCGTATTGGAAGAAACAGGCGTTTAGACGGAGGCACATATTTTAATTTAGAAAAGCTATACAGTGACTAAGTTCTCGTGAGTGTTCTCGAGGGAGACTGGAGATTAGAACGTATTTACACCCCACCCCACCCCCTCCCGAAACATCTTCGTCCCAATCAAGGCATAACTGGTTTATACAAAGAATTTTATGATAAAAGGCAATAACACAATGCCATAAAAAAGCCCTCTATAAAATTGTTAAAGAGCAGTTTGTTTGCATTTCTCCTGATTGATATGTAAATACAGTTTGAACTGTGTTTGCTCGGTTTCTAGTGCTTAATAAAGAGATGAATTCACCTTTCTGTGGAACAAGTAAACAGACTTTAAACTAAGCCGACATCAGACAAAGTGGAAACGAGTTTATTTAATCGAAACTAAATCTAGTTTAAGAAAGATAAGTCAGTGTACATAATAATCCATTACAGTAATTACACCCACCACCAAATATGTGTTTATGAGGTTGTCGAGACACAATAAAATTCATTTATTTCCCCCTAAGTCTATAAAGAAAAGTCACTGGCTGGATGTCTAACGAACACATTAAGTCCAATATTTGGGGGTGCGGGGAATAATATTTCTCGGCTGTATTAATACTTCTCAATGCTCCTCACTTTTAAAAGTTCATGTGTTTGAAAGGATGCAAACATTGATTACGCCTGAAGGGGAAATGTCGACTTAACCACAGCACTTTCCCCTTTGGTCTTGTATATTAACTCCGAGAGAAACTAACCCCAATTTAAAAATTCCATGGAGTTAACTCTGCTCTCGCTCCCTTCGCCGGAGCTGGCAGAGCTGAGCCACGGACCAGGAATTCCCAAGACTTGCTTCTTTTATCAGAAAAAACAACAGTAAGCTCCAGACCCCCCCGCCCCGCCCCCTCCGCCATTCTTAACATGATGTTATAGATCTGAAACGAATATTCTCCGTAGAGGAAAAAAAAAATATATATTCTTTGGGTTAGTTGAGAATGTCGCTGTATAAAGCAGGACATAATATAAAGAATGAAAGGTCTCGAAATTCCTGTTGACACACGTGATGTCCTCTAGTTAGAAATAAAGGGGGAGGAGGGAGGCAGAAAGAATCCGATAATCTTTTTTTTTTCTTCTCTCTATTTCCCTTTTTCTCCATCCAAAGTAGCACTTGGTGTCCGAGTAACACCGGCTATCTTGTATAAATAAAAGACTGGAGCTTTCGAAAGCTGCTACTTAAACTGGAGGTTGGGTTGTTTCCATCGCGGGCAAGCCGCTTTCTTTCTCTTCAAAAATATGAGCATTTCATAATATCACTGTAATTCACTGGTCTTTCAATGACTGCAATTCCCTTCCGTGGTTTAACTGAGGAGATCGGGGGGGGTGGGGGGGGAGGAGGAAGAAACAAACAAACAAAAAAACCCCAAACAAACACGAAACCCAGCAGCAAATGCAAAAGAAAACACGCTACGAGATCTTTTCGGATGGGGAACTTCTTATTTTGTTACACTCACAAAAGGGATATCTGGGACCCGAAAGGCAGCGAATTACACGTATTTCGGGCTTGTCCGGTACGAGCTCCTTAACTTGATATGCTTTAGATATTTACAGCAAAGTTAATATCTAACTGTCTTACATTACCCATAATATTTACCTTCCGACCAAACGCCCCCTCTGTGTCTCAGCCAGGCACGCACCCCTCGCACCCACGCACACCCACGCACACACATACACGCACGTGCGCGCACACGTACTTTCTCCTCATCTCCTTCTTTACAATCTTTCCAAATCGCTACAGGAAAAAAAAAACAAAAAAAAAAACAAAAAACAAACAAACAAACAAACAAACAAAACCACACAACAACAAAAAATCAAAACAAAACCCCCCAAACAATCTGCTTTAAACTGAGGTGCTAACCTCTCTCCTGGGTAACGAGGGGGGGTGTGTGTGCCTGCGGAGGTGAGTACGTGTAGAAAATAAAATACAGTCTGATAAAGAAAGTTAATTCAAACTACTCGTCGTACACAATAAACTATCTTTTTATTTTGATTATAAATAAGGTGACTGTACTTCCCTTAAAATACAAGTACATAGGAAAACCTGATAGAAATTATTATTTTTTTTTTTTTTTTTTTTTTTTTTTTTTTTTACAAAGTATTAAAACTGGACGCTTTTTAACCCGGCCGCATCTTCTATACTGCCAGCAGGTTAATTTGTTTCTAGTGGCGTTAGACTTTTACTTTCTTTCTCCTCCGTGCCTTTGGCATTTGAATTTCTACTCCCGGAATACTTTTCTTTCTCTAGCAAGAAGTCTCTGAGCTGCCCCCCGCCCCCCAGTAATCAGGCTAATGAATTTGGAGCCGATCCCACGCGTTTGCTTGTCACTTTTGCACGCTGAGGACTGATCCTGTATCCCGTTAACTCCCTGGTGCAGATCCCCTCTGGGAACAGGGTCCGAGCCCTGGGAGGGGCAGGGGCCTTTCAGGGTTTGGCAGCATCCCGGGTTGTTTTACCATCAAGCAAACAAACAAACAAACAAAAAAAAAAAAAAAAGATGCGGGAAGGGAAGGTCAGGAGGGGGAACCAAGGGGAAATTAAAAAAAAAAAAAAGAATATTCGTAATGTGTATAATTTATTAGAAGCTTCTTAGGAACTATATTTAAGCCAAATATCTACATAAGTTACAACAGGAAAAGGCGGCGTGCGCAAATAACAAACTGCCGGAGGATTTACGACGGGGCGATCAGTGTCCATAAAAAAGGTGGGGGTTGGTTTGGTTGATTGTATTTTTTTTCTTTTTCTTTTTACAACAAAATATACAGGCTACTAAAAACTATGGGTTTAGTCCAGCTTTTGACAGCATTATACAGCTACAGGTTCACATCAAACGTAAGGAGGAAAATAAAAGCCAAGCCTTTGATGACTCCACGTCTCCATCCGCTGGCCCTGGCGCGGGGCTGGGAGAGGAGACCGGGGGAGGGGGGAAGCTGCTTCTTGTGTCTGGGTGACGCGAATGCGGTTTTTTTTGGGGGGAAAACCACCCCATCCCCCAAAATCTCTATATTTACATGCAAGTCCCAGACGCTGGCAAAGTGTACATCTGAAATCCAAGCCTTCGGACCATGCCTAACTATGGTCCCCTTTCTGCAGACTGGTCCGTGATTATTAGTCAGAATTTTTTTTTAACACCCAATACAACAACCTTGGGAAAAAAAAAAGAAAAAAGAAAGACCCAAAACCATCAAGAGTAGCAACAAAACCGAACAACAACAACAAAAATGTCTTTCTCTCTCTCTTAGAGGTCCTCAGAGAACCACTCAGTAAAACCGGGGGGCGGAGGGGAGGGTTAAAAAAGAAAGAAAAAGCAAAAAGAAAAGAAAAACACCCAGTAGTTTGGACAGGACAGAGATTTGCGTGACTGGGAAAATCTGCGCTTTTTTTTTTTCCTTATTTTTTTCTTTTGCTTTGTTTAATCCTTTCACCAGGTCCTACCGTATAGCAAGGTGGAGCAAGACATGGCAGTGCCATAGTCAGAAGTAGAAGAGTTTAGGTGAGACAAACTGGAGACTTGGCTCTGCAGAGAGGAAGGGCTGGCCGAGTGCTGTCCCATGTCTGGAGACTGCCCCGCACTGTTTGTCTGGTGGCTCTGATGCTGTCCGAGGCTGG